TCCAGGGAAGTCTGTCTTGGGAAACATTATACTTGATCTACCTCTTGAAAGGAGCGTCCTATTTAGATTATTGGGGTCCAGGACAATGTTGATGCCGAGTGGTATAAGCAAAGAAGGCACCAAGGTTGGAGTAAGTACCAAGTTCAGGGGTCACCAAGAATGGAATTCTGACCTTTTATGTCAGCGGTTCCCAACCTTTTTGGCACCAGGGACCAGTGCTCCTATGAGAATCTAGTGCCTGATGATCTGAGGTGGAGCTGGAGTAGATGATCTGAGGTGGAGCTGAAGTAGTGATGCTAGTCCTGAGGAGCGGCTGCAAATACAGATAAAGCTTCGCTTGCTTGCCCACTGCTCACTTCCTGCTATGTGGCCTGGTTCCTAACAGCCCATGGAGCAGTACCAGTTTGCAGCCCAGGGGTTGGGGAGCCCGGTTTTATATGGCTGCTTTTGTACAATATGGAAATAATGTTAAAGTCAAACTAAAGGCCTGAAAAGAGATTTTGAGGTACATATTTGAGAAAAATATTGATACTTGGGAATAGTCTAATGGGAGAAAAGATCTATGGTATTTAATAATTGATATTATTATTTGCATTAGTAATTCATTTTTGTCCAAGTTCTATATAATCACAATTATCATTATTTTTTAAAGTAAATCTATAAGTATAGGAGAGGCTATTTCCAGAAGAAATGATACATAGAGATAACATACATTGTTCAGGCCAACTCTAGCCCAAAAGACTTAGTTAACCCCAAGAGTTCAGGAGACGGGCACAAATATCAAGCAAGAAATAAACATACCCCAACTCCCGCCCGCAAACAGAACAAGAATATTGAAACAATGACCACTTATTCCCATCCAGCCCTGATGATCAACTTGTCCCTTTTCTCAAGGGTGTAGGTTGTTTACCTTTGATGACTTTGATTTGTTGCTGTGCTTTATTTAATTTTGCAAAGACCTGAGTGATGGAGTGGGTGATGAAGTCTGGGGGAAGGAAAACTTGGGTAGAGGTACAATTTTCTTGAAGTTTAATTTGGAGCACATGAGTTGATCAGGGAAATTACAGAAAGAGAAGCCCAGTGTAGTTATACAGAGCATAGTGGCTTCCTCTGATTCCTAGAGCTCATTATTTTTCCTTCTGGAAGCATCTGAGGGGTGTGTTTTCTGTCACAATGTGCCATCTTTCTCCCTCCTTCCCCTTTTCTCTCTCATTCTTTCCCCTTCAGAAAGGGTGGGAAAAAGGGAAAGATAAAATGGTTAGAACAGCAGGATTCCTGTGAAATTCCACATATTGTATGGAAGTAGGAAGTAGAATCCTTTAACCCCACCTAAATTTTGCTTTTAACATTTTGATTTTAATTTTTTTTTTTGGTAGCAATAAATCAGAACTTTTGACTAAGGCTAAAAATAGATTAGCAAGGTTGAGCTTGGAAGAAATGAACCAACTTCTCCTTCCTTTTCATTTTGTTTCAGTTTGAATGGGAAGGAGGTGGCTCACACAATGAACAAGAACAGCAACTGGCTGGCTGGCTGTGTGCTTTGAGCCAATTATGATATTTTTTGTGGGAAAGTTTCCAATTCTTAAGTCTGTTATGTAGAGGTGGGAGGCAGCTGGTGTGAATGTCTGTCTGCAGAGTACATGTGCAATTACTCTGATCCAATATGGCATAACAGCAATGTGCTTATTTAAGAAAATAATTATCTCAATTTTCTTGTACTCTAACTTAAGCTTCTTCATACTTACCATTTAAGAAACAAAACAAAACAAAACAAAAGAAGAAAAAAAAGAAAGGCCAAATCCCAGGTCACCAAAAGATTTTGAGAACTCACAGCTACCTCTAGTAAGAGATATCAGTGATTAGATTAGGCTGTCAAATGGGCCACTTTAACTCATTATCTTCGTCTACAGCCTCACTGTCTTCCCCGCTGAAGTCTCCATTTAATTAACAACCAATGTCATTTCCTCCAGTTTTCAGAATTTCTTGACTTTACTCTCTTCTTCACCTCTCATATCCAATGGCCACCAAATCCTCCTGCATCTACCTTCAAAGCATTGGTCCATTCATTTATTTATGTATTTTTCATGCATTTACTAAATACCCACTGTGCACCATACACTGTGCTAGGCACCAAGGATACAATGATGAATAAGACAGTTCTGTTATCACAGAGTTTATAGTCTAGTGGAAGCCCAGAAAAAAGACAAGTAAATAGGCAATTTCAATACCATGTGTGCAAGCTGGTGTGTTGGGGAAGGTACAGGGAGCACATGGAGACGAATCCAGCTTTGGGTTATCAGAGACTTCCTGGAGAGTTGATATTTAGCTGAGACTTTAAGGTTCAGAAAAATGTAGGCAGAAGAGTGCTTTAAGCATCCTCCATTCAAAATTTTATTGAACACTTAGTGTGGGTGGGCTTTATTCTAGACTCTGCAGATAGATAGATACAATCCTGGCTCTCCTAGTGCTTAGAGGTTGTAGGAGTGGGGGAGAAATAGACATGAAAATATAGGCACAAAAAACCATCTACTTTATGAATATAGCTTTCTAAAGAGTCATTTTCCTTCAATAAAAATTAGGGAATTAAAAGGTTCATAATTTTCCAACTGAAAAGTCCAACTAGCAATTGCTCCCAAGTACCTAGCTCTCCTCCTTGCAGCTCCAGGCTCTTCTCTGGCCTCTGGAATGAATGCCTAGAGTTCTCAATTAGAATCTCCCCCTTAGGTGAACATAGGGTGGGTACTCTTCCTTGTACTTCCCTGCCTGTCTCTTACCCCTGCAACACAGCCACAGCCTTTACTAAAGAGCTGGGTTAAAGATCACACTACAGGAGGAGAAAACTGTAAACCATGAGCTAACATAGCTTTCCTCCACAGTTCGTGGGAAAAGAATTTATAGTCAACAAATATATGCTAGTTATTCCCTGAGGTGCCCAAGACAGAAAAAAAAATCTCCTATCCTGTGGATTTTCATTTGAGTGAGAAGGAAACAGACAGACAATAAATAAACATATGCATTGACAAAATAATTAGAGATGGATGGAGGAAATAAACAGGGAGGTACTTCTGATAGCTCTTTTGAGAAGGTGCCTCAGTTATATCATCTTGAAGGAAGTGATGTGTTTGAGCTGGGATATGAGCCATGGGAAGGAGCTGATATACCAAATGGCAGAAAATAGTTGCAGCGAAAGAGACCAAGTGAAACTCTTCCCAGGGGTCCCCTGCCCTCAGGTCATTGCCTCTCATCAACAGAGGTCACCTCCTAAACTCTGCCAGCTCACAACGTGGGCACCTATCTGGACAACTCAGTCTTATTCGTAGGGATTGTTGGGTTTCCTCCCAGGCACGGCCTGCTTCTTGGTTACAGGCAATATTTGGTTATATCCCTGGATGGTGGGTCCTGTTTGAACTGTCATCACTAGACTGTGCTGGCTTCCCATTCAGGGACTCTGCAGTTCGCTCTCATTGTCTAGGAATTCAACCCTATTTCTGTAATTATTGAATATAAGGCTGTTCCTAAATGGCAAAGCCTTTTAATGGATTATTAATCCAAAATCTGAAATCCTTTGTTTTTCATTTCTGTTCAACTCACCCGCCTATTTTTCCGGACCAGACTGTGCTAAGCCTCAATTACATGAAGGTCAGAAGGCTACCGACTAACTTCAGATGCCATCGGCTTGATGTTAGAGGCCATTTCAGGAAGGCGGTTCATAGAACCCGAGCGCCAGACGCCGTGGACAAGGGCGCCAGGATGACGTCACTCAAAGGTGGCCGTCTCAGCGCGGGGTGTGACGTCACGAGGGCGGGCCAGTCCGCCGTGAGGTCACCTGGTGGGCGCGGCCACGCCGAATCCCCAGTGTCGTCACGGGCGGGGGCGGGGCCAGAGCGTGTCAGCGAAGCCAAATCAA